AAGCTAAGACTTTTGTTAAGTACTTTGATTTTTCTTCCCCTTTTGCTTTCCTGTTTGTAATTGTCTCTTCTTGTTGTAATACCCTCTTCTGTAAACATTACATTTGGACTATTTTATCTTTTTTAAAACTAAATGTAAGATTGATACATTATTTTCTTATGCACTAAGCCCGTGCGTAAAGGATCCCTGTCTCTTTGAAGAGTGCTGCTATATTGTAAGTCTCTGAAATATTCCTGTTTATCATGATAGTGTGTGAGTACTGACATTTCCTAAACATCAAAATTGTTATCACAGATACCGTGAACGGTTTGTGTTTCCAAGAAAACACATGGTGGCAGCTGCTTGGTGTGTAACAGATCAATTTGCATAGTTAATTAAAACCCAGTACTCATCTCTTTCAGTCTGCTTGAACCTAGATGGTGGTGCTGTTACTTACATAGTTACATAGTTAGTCTGGCTGAAAATAGACAAAAGTCCATCCAGTTCAACCATAGAAAAAAAAAGTTATAATCCTATACCCACAGTTGATCCAGAGGAAGGCAAAAAAAACCCCCAGCAAAGCACGATCCAATTTGCTCCTGCTGGGAAAAAAAATTCCTTCCTGATCCTCCGAGAGGCAATCAGATATTCCCTGGATCAACTTTACCTATAAATGTTAGTATCCAGTTATATTCTGTGTATCTAAGAAACAATCCAGGCCTTTTTTGAAGCAATCCACTGAGCTGGCCAGAACCAACTCTTGAGGGAGTCTATTCCACATTTTCACAGCTCTTACTGTGAAGAAACCTTTACGTGTTTGGAGAGTCAGTTTCTCCAGACATAAAGAGTGCCCCCTTGTCCTCTGTGATGACCTCAGGGTGTATAGCTCTACACCGAGTTCACTATACGAACCACTGATGTATTTATACATGTTGATCATATCCCCCCTTAATCTCCTCTTCTCAAGAGAGAATAAAGTTCCTCTAATCTTTCCTCATAGCTGAGCTTTTTGTTCTTTTTGTGAGTTGGTGCCCAAAACTGAACTGCATATTCCAGATGAGGTTTTACTAATGATTTGTACAGGGATAATATGATATCTCTCTCTCTGGAGTCTATACCTCTTTTAATACAAGAGAGATTTTGCTTGCTTTAGAAACTGCAGCTTGGCATTGCATGCCGTTATTAAGCTTGTGTTCTACCAGAACTCCCAGATCCTTCTCCACCATTGATTCCCCCAGTTGTACTCCCCCGTAGTGTGTATGATGCATGCATATTCTTAGCACCCAAGTGCATAACCTTACATTTTAGCTGGAAACTCTTTGTGCAAGGCCACTCTGGGAGTGTCATTGCCATGTATGTGAGCAATATACCAAATCTATAATTGATTTCCTTCACCTTGTAGACTTTCTGGCACTTGTGGGCATTGAAGTTAATTATCCCCCCATCTTTTGAGCACATCTACAAATCCAGGGTGCATTCATGACTGGCCTGGGGGTCCTGCCACTCAACCACTCACCAGCACCTTGGATATTCAAGGTGCTAGACCCAGTACTAGCCTTACTGCGCTCTTGTAACATTCTCATTATGGAATCCTTAGATGACCTCCTGTTGAAGGAACAGTAAGTGTGGGCTCCATCAAGCAAAGTGACATTAACTTCTAGATGTTCCATTTTTTTGGATGAATCAAGAACCTTCAGAGATTATTGCTGGGACTGACTCATCATTTGGAATATCTGGGTGGTCCTGTTGACAGCTCAGGATAGTTTGTTCTATGGAGCCTGTACTGACTGTGCATTTTCCACAGGGAAACTTTAAATACTCTGGTCTCAGATTCATGCTCACTGGACCAGGAGCCATCTAACTCTCCATTTAGGAGAGGTGTAGGAGAATCCTAGGACTGAGGATAGCCTCTTTTGGGGTAATTCAATTAAAGTTTTCCAACAGACCTGTACAAGGTAGCATTCTCTCTTCATGGGACAAGTCGAATATGTTATTCCTTCCCATTATTTAAGGAATCCCTATGACGCCATTCAGTTGATTTGGAAAGGAGACCTGAACACCCTTCATGACAGGGAACTTGGTAATTATCGGAGTCTTGTTTCCCAAGTAACTGCCAGAAGCTTTTGGATAGTATTTGACTGGCATTGAAGTATTAGAACTTGTTCGAAGGTTGTACAATCTAGAATCTAGATTGAATCTTATCCTTCACAGAACTTTACGTTATAGCTAGAGATGAGCGAATCGAACCAGGCGAACCGGAATTCGAGTCGAATTTCAGGAAATATTCGATTCGCGTCGAATCCGAAATTTTGCCTACTTCGGGTGCGCGAATCGAATATTTCCCGATCAGCCGGCAAAACTGTCCCTGCAGTGAGCTCCGCTATTTCTGACAGTTCTCTGACAGAAGGAACACATGTTTAGCGGTTGAAACATTGTATCTATTAGTTTCCATTTAGGATACAGATGTTTCAACCGCTGTACATGTGAAGAAGCTGTCAGAGAACTGTCAGAAATAGAGGAACTCTGCACATACACTTTTTGCCGGCTTGGAATTATTCTTATTTTCATCCTACTTCTTCTTCTTCTTCATCCTCATCCTCAGAAGAAGAGGATGAGGATGAAGAAGAAGAAGAAAGAAGAAGAAGAAGAAGAAGTAGGATGAAAATAAGAATAATTCCAAGCCGGCAAAAAGTGTATGTGCAGAGTTCCTCTATTTCTGACAGTTCTCTGACAGCTTCTTCACATGTACAGCGGTTGAAACATCTGTATCCTAAATGGAAACTAATAGATACAATTTGTATCTATTAGTTTCCATTTAGGATACAGATGTTTCAACCGCTGTACATGTGAAGAAGCTGTCAGAGAACTGTCAGAAATAGAGGAACTCTGCACATACACTTTTTGCCGGCTTGGAATTATTCTTATTTTCATCCTACTTCTTCTTCTTCTTCTTCTTCATCCTCATCCTCATCCTCTTCTTCTGAGGATGAGGATGAAGAAGAAGAAGAAGAAGAAGAAGAAGTAGGATGAAAATAAGAATAATTCCAAGCCGGCAAAAAGTGTATGTGCAGAGTTCCTCTATTCTGCAGATACACTTAGAGGAGCTCTGCAGATACACTTAGAGGAGCTCTGCACATACACTTTTTGCCGGCTTGGAATTAATCTTATTTTCATCCTACTTCTTCTTCATCCTCATCCTCATCCTCAGAAGAAGAAGAAAAGGATGAGAAGAATAATTCCAAGCCGGCAAAAAGTGT